GCTTCCATAGAACATTCTTACTTGGGGTCTTTGAAGAGGGCAAGCACAAAATCTAGTAGTGCCCTCTCAACTTTCAGCGGTATGCCTGAGTCCACCTTCCCCCAACCTGTGTTATCACCATGAGAACAATTTCAGAGACAACAATCTAATAGGTCAAAGAAATTTCACCAAGCCATTGAACATCCTTTAGATCATAGATATATTAGCAATGCATGTACCTGGCTGCTTTATGAATAAGAGCAAAGTATATGGAATAGTAGAAGAATAGTGAGTGCTCCCCCCGCTCCCCAAATATTCCTCCCCTACAACTTGGGTATTGCCAGAAGTTCTCCATTTAGAAATCCACCTTTTTGAGTGGAAGTAATTACTGTTAAATATAAATGCCCATTTAGGGGTCATATGTTAAACTTTACTAATATTTAAATTTTCAGTGTAAGCTCATCAAATCTCTCATGAGAGCAAAATTTAGGAGTTAGAAAGAGAACACTATTTTTTTTTTTTTAAAGGTTTTTTATTTATTTATTTACGATAGTCACAGAGAGAGAGAGAGAGAGGCAGAGACACAGGCAGAGGGAGAAGCAGGCTCCATGCACCGGGAGCCCGACGTGGGATTCGATCCCGGGTCTCCAGGATCGCGCCCTGGGCCAAAGGCAGGCGCCAAACCGCTGCGCCACCCAGGGATCCCCGAAAGAGAACACTATTACAGTGAGTACTTGAGGCCCAGCAAGGGAGGAAAACATGAAAACAAAGGTCAAGAAAGGTGAAGTGAGGGCCTTGAAGACAAACTATGTTTGCTTTGCAATTCGACTAGAACTCATTACTTATCATTCAGTGCATGAAGATCAGGTGACAAGCAATGATATCCTCAAGCCAGCAGGACCCCGGGTTCCACCTCAGAACCTGGTCAGGGGCCAATAATAGGAGTTGTCCCCAAGGTGGTACATCAGCCCCAAATCTTCAATATCCCATTGGAGCCACATCAGTCGCTGGGCCAGCCAGGAGGAAGGGGAAACCACCAGCCTGTGAGATTAGCCAACTCCATCCCAGAACTCAGTGATAGATGTGGATGCCAGATGGCCTTCACATCCGGACACAGGTTGAACAGCCCCTTAACTCTCTACCTCCCACTGTCTGGTATTGGTCGTTTCATTTGAAAAACCAACCAGATATAAAATTTTAGTGCACAGCCACTAAATAATCTTACAAGTACTAGATTGATATGAACAGCATTGATAACAAAACCAACCATCATTATCTTTGCAGACTCCATCGTATAGTTTTCTACGAAGATTAAAATCATTGCAAAAATTGAAAAAAAAAATCCCAATTTTCCAGATTGTAAAACTGAGATATAAGAAAGTTACCAAGATCATAAAGTTTATCAGACCCAAACTCACAGTTAATCTTCCACCCATAGAGCCCCCTTCCACCAAGGATTCTGGCCTCCTCCTCTCTTCACCAAGGCCTCCACTGACTTGGAAAGTGTTGAGCCTTTTTTTTTTTTTTAAGATTTTATTTATTTATTCATGGAGACACACAGAGAGAGAGTCAGAGACATAGGCAGATGGGGAGGCAGGCTCCCTGTGGGAAACCTGAAATGGGACTCAGGACTCGATCCCAGGACCCCGGGATCATGACCTGAGCTGAAGGCAGAGCTCAACCACTGAGCCACCCAGGTGCCACAGGAAGTGTTGAGCCTTAATGGAGCACCAGATCTCCTCTCCCGCTAGGGAGACTCAAATTAAAATCACCTCTAGTCCAGTCTTACATGGTGCCTTTAAGCTTTAATTTTACGTTTTCTAAATACATTCTGGAGGTAAAAAATAGAACAGTATAAAAGGGGTAGTATATAAATAACTCCCTCACCCCTGCTCCCTCTGTTGACCCCCCCAGTCCCCAGATTGCCGTGCCAGAAACAATTATTCATTTCTTGAGCGTCCTTCCGAATATAAACTGTGTCTATATTAGTAGATAAAATTGATAGCCTGTTTCCCTCTTTAAATTACAAAATCCCACAACGAATGCCCAGAAATGTAATTTGCACCGAATCTTAGAGGAACACAACATATGTGTTAGAAATGCCCAATATCCGGGCAGGTTTGGGGAAGGAACAGGGTTTCTCACAATGCTTTCAAACCAGAAAAGAGACACACTCTCATTTTTAGATCTACCATCTTTTCTAGGCCCACTTTTAGCCTAGACACACTCTGGATACAACAGCACTCACTGTTTTAAAATAATATGTTGTCAAAAATTTTTTTAAAATAATATGTTGTCATCTGTATGGAAACTTTTTTTTAAGATTTTTTATTTATTTATTCATAGAGACACACACGGAGAGAGAGAGAGAGAGAGAGAGAGAGAGAGAGAGAGAGAGAGAGAGAGGCAGAGACACAGGCAGAGGGAGAAGCAGGCACCATGCAGGGAGCCCGACGTGGGACTGGATCCAGGGTCTCCAAGATCGCACCCTAGGCTTCAGGCAGCGCTAAACCTCTGCGCCACTGGGGCTGCCCTGGAAACTATATTTTAAGCTCCAAGAGGAAGCCCAAAGCTCTAAAAACTTGGGATCTAATGAGCAAGTGCATATTCATTCTATCCATGTACTTCATTATTTTGTAAGCTTGGAACCTGTCCCTTCTAAGCCTTTGTCCTTCTGAACCAAGAAGTCTTCTCCTCACTAACCATATGAGAAAAACACTGCTCCAGCTGGTTCACAGAAGGTGCCAGAGAAGGTACAATCCCAGGCTCAGGCGATTTGAACCCTCTACGTTTTTAAAATCAGGTAGGTGACAGGTTTGCTAAAACAGGGCATTAGCAATCATGCATGTGGTAACTAAATCCCTATTTAGGCCTGAGAGTCAGACTATTCCACATTTTGAACAAACAGCAATAATAACCAGCTCTGCAATTGGATACCCAACAGAGTTCAAGAAACAGATGGGAAAGTTATCTATTTTCAAATCTCTGCCAGACTCCCCTTAGTTTAGAAGCAATACAATCCAGTCGTCTGTTGCTACTAAATCCAATACCTCTTTCAACACTAATTCATATACATAGTGTGTTGGCAAGGACCCGTAGTAATGATGAGTGGCATTTTATAGGAGTGAGCTGCAGAAGAGAGACACATTCCTAAGTGGCAGACATAAAAGTCATTTTAAAAAAATAAATAATTAGAGGAAAAATAATCACACATCACTGCTTCATCACAGTAACATAGAAAAACTGAGCTCTTGGGGGATCCCTGGGTGGCTCAGTGGTTAAGCACCTGCCTGCAGCCCAGGGTGTGATCCTGGAGACCTGGGATTGAGTCCCATGTCGGGCTCCCTGCATGGAGCCTGTGTCTCTGTCTCTGTCTCTCTGTCTCCCTCTCTCTGTGTCTCTCATGAATAAATAAATAAAATCTTTAAAAAAGAAAAACTGAGCTCTTAATACCAAAAGGAATGTAAGGTCTCTACCCCTGACACTCTTCATAAAGATCTTAATTAGAGCCAGTCCAAACTGTTCTGTCTGGAGTTAATGTCATAGTCACAGGTAGCATCTTAAATCCTAGTCTGTGATCTCACAAATGCAAGTCACAGGCCGAAAGGGAATGTGTATGCCTGTGCACAATTCATGCCACCAGCTGAAAGACAACCCCAAAGCTGTGGCATTACAGCTGCTGGATGAGACATTTTCATAGTATGTTTAAGAACAAAAGAGAAGAACTGCCTCCCCCCTCCACCCCATGGTTAAAATGCCGCCCATGTCAGTAGAAACACCTGGAGCACCCAATTACCAGGAGATATTTGAGGGCCAATGTGTTCTAAGTCCTGGACTGACAACAGGAAGTTCATCTGGGCCCTCAAACCAAATGCAGCCCAAATGATCTCCTCGGGGAAAGCCTCAGCGAGCAAAACCCAAATCCCACTACACATCTGACTTTTGCCCCAGCATGAACTACCACTCCCTCTCCGCCCTGCACTCTGCATTTTTCCAACAAGCCATTCTCAGCCATCACAAATGCTTTGGTGGGAATCACAGGGAGGCCCTCATCCCTTTTCCCAAAATAACCTCAACCAGAGGCAAAGGCCAAGGAGGTGGGGCCTGCAGGCCATTTTGCAAAAGTTTCAAATATCCTGGCACTGACCCCCTTAAAAACAATCATGAAGGGAAAACAGCCAAGCTTCTCGTTTTCTCATTAGTTCTCTGTCTCTCACTCATTACTAACTTCTGCATTTTTAAGAAACAAGCAAAAAGTAGATCTCACATAAAATCATATTAACATTGCTGGCTGTTGGAAGCAGGAGTTTATTTTGCAAACTCAATGCCAAACACTTGAACCTGACACCTTTAAAAGAAATGTGCAGTGTTCTGTGACAGTTCAATCCCCAAACGGGTCCCTGACGCATAAGACGGAACAAAGAACTGGGGAGCCGTCCCACCTCCTCCAAAGCCTTTCTGACATATGCAACTGCCTCAGATTTCCATATTCTGCTGATCTTTCCCCTGAAGAAGAGAGAGGAAGCAGATTTATTGGCTGTCCAGTTAGAGACCAAATAACCTAGTCTCTCTCCTACATGTCAAAGAAGCTTTTCCAAAACACACACACACACAGACACACGCACACCCGTGCAATTCCTTCCAGAAACATACAAAAAGTAAAGAGAGAGACTGTGACAGCGAAGGCAAGAAAATGCCACTTTGTTTAGTTCTCCAAACCTTCCCAGGGAACAGCAGCAGACTCAACAGTGGCACCGAATTCTCCACCACCTACCCCTTGGGCTCTCCCCTGCCCCCCAGCAGGGGTGAAACAGGCTCGGGAACAGAGCCTTCCTTGCCAAAGGAACACAAACTGTCACTGCGATGACGGAAGCCCTAAAAGGGCCAGGGGCCCACCCTGGTCTGTCCGGGGGGCAAAAGCACACCTGTCGCTCGGCGTCTTGCCCCGGGCATGCCTGCCTCCTCCCCGACACTTCCTCCGCAGCCCCCGCCCCCCCCCCCCGTGCCCTTCAGGTCCTCACCGTGTGGTACATCAGAGCCTCGGTTTCCCCGGGCTCCGACAGCTCGCTCAGCTTGCGGTCCCACTGCAGGACGCTCTGCTCCCCGCTCTCCAGCACCTCCATGCCGGGCGAGGATGCTGCGGCCGGAGCACAGCGGGTGGAGATGCCTCCGCGGTTAGGGTCCCGCGCGCAGGCTGTGCGCGTGCGCCTGTAGCTTAGGCACCTAGGAAGGAAGCACGTCCTGTGCTGTCTACCTGCCGGAGAACCAGCTGCCAAGGGCTCCCGGCCGGTGTCCTCGGAACTCCGAGAACTGCCGGGGGAGACAGGCTGTCCAGGGACCCGGCTGAAGGCTGAAGGGGCTACAGCAGGGCGTGCGTCCAAAACAGAGGCAGATCGGGTCTCACCCCAAGAAAATCCCTTTGCAATAAGCCCACTTCCCAATACCGCCCCAGACGCAAACTTGGAGACTTCCCCAGGGCTCCTCAGCTCGGCTCCGGGACCCCAGCTAATGACTCCACCCCCTCCAGGGCAGTGACCAATCGGATGCTCACCGCGCCCGCCCGACCCAATCAGAAGTCAGGCTTCCCGCCCCGTCCCGCCCCGAAAGGCTGGGCAGAGGGAAGGCTCAGCCAGGGTTTTGGAATGTGGGCGGGGAGCGCCTCTGACGTCACCGGGGAACTCCCTCTGCCCGGCGCGACAGCGGACCAATGGAGTGCTCGGTCGGGGCGTGATGGACAGGGGGCGAGGCCAATGACAAAGGGGCGTCTGCAGGGGTCCGGGGCGGGATCCTGGAGACCTGGGATTGACTCTCACCTCGGGCTCCTGCATGGAGCCTGCTTCTCCCTCTGACTGTGTCTCTGCCTCTCTCTCTCTCTCTCTCTCTCTCTCTCTCTTCTCTCTCTCTCTCTCTCTCTCTCTCTGTGTCTCTCATGAATAAATAAAATAAGAATCTTAAAACAAATGGCGCTGCTGGAGGAAGGAAGGTCGGTGAGAAGATCAGGTTAACTGTGAGGAGGCACCAGACATAAGGGGGTGCCATGGAAATGGGGTCCATGGGAGCCAGACTGGGGAGGGATGTCTGAGCAGAAAAACCAGACAACATATTCATCCTATGTTGCATGAAGCCCTGAGATACATAGCGATGTGGATGGAAGTGTCACTAAGGGAAACAGAAAGTATTTTTGAGAAGAGTGAGAGTAAAAAGTACATTTCTACATATGTTGAACTTGAGAAACCAGCCATTTCTGCCCCTCCGGTAAGAACTGGGTTGGGGATCAACATTTTCCATTGATGAGAGTATGCACGATGGCAATTCAGGAAATCCGTCCATCACCACATTTCAAATATTAGACAAGGGTATTCCTTCACACATTCCAACTCTCATAATGGTGTCTTTTGATGAACCTAGAGGGTCATGATTTTAATGAAGCCCAATAGGTGATTCCCATTTTATGGTTAGTAATTTTTGTGTTCTGTTTAAAAATCCTCACAAGTCCCACAGACATTGTTGTCTGTTTTATTTTAAAACTGTAATGTCAGGAGATCCTTGGGTGGCCCAGTGGTTTGGCGCCTGCCTTTGGCCCGGGGAGTGATCCTGAAGTCCCGGGATCGAGCCCCACCTCAGGCTCCCTATGTGGAGCCTGCTTCTCCCTCTGCCTGAGTCTCTGCCCTCCCCCTCTATTTTTTTATTTAAAAAAAAATAAAATCTTTAAAAAAAAAGAAAGAAAACTGTAATGTCTTACCTTAAAGTTTTAAAATTAGAATTCATCTGGAGTAGTTCTTTGGATTATGATGCAAACTAGGGGTCAAGGTCAGCCCCCACCATAAATATTCAACTCATCTTGCACCATTTTTTGATAAGAAGCCCTCCCTCAGGGCCCCCCAGACCATAAGACAGGTGGTCATATATGTGTGGATGTATTTCTGAATCTCCTATTCTGTTCCAGTTCTGTTTTACTCAAAATTTGCCCTAATGCCATACTGTATTATCACTGTAGTTGGAAAATCCTCCAACTTTGTCTTCAAGAGTGAGTGAGGCATTCCTGACTCTGTCTTCCCATATACATTTTATCTATTTTTATTTTTTATTTTTAAAGATTTTATTTTATTTTTTTAAGTAAACTCTATACCCAACGTGTGGCTCGAACTCACAGCCCAGAGATCAAGAGTCACACGCTCTACGGAATGAGTCGGCCAGGTGTCCCTCCATAGAAATTTTAAAATCAGCTTATCGTAGGACTCTTAGCAAGATTTTTATGGGGATTACATAGAACCTAAAGAACATTACAAGGAAACTGGTATTTTAAAATACTGAATTCTCTTATCTATTCCTCCATTTATTTAGATCTTAAAATTTTTTGTCTTTTGCTTTAACTTGATTTTGCTTTTTTTAAATGAAGTTGATTTTTTGGTGCTATTGTTAATGACACTATTTTATATTTTTTATTTTCCTACTTTACATTGCTAACATACAGAAGTAATTGGTTTTTATCTATACCTTATAATAAGCGAAATTGCTATGCTCACCAATTCTAGAAGTTGATTTGTAGATTCATTTGCATATTCTTATACAAATTCACATCATCTGCGAATACTAGCAAGTTTACTTGTTGCATCATTTGTATGCTTCTTAAATTTTCATTTTGCTGTATCATATTTGATAATCCCTTCAGCAAAACACTGACTAGCAGGAGCGGTGGTCTCGGCTTTATCTCAGTCTCGGTCCCTGAAGGACAGATTTCAATTTTTTTTTTTGTATATTCTTAATGTTCAGTTTATTGGGTTGTATTTCAGTGCAATGCAACTGCATTGCACTTTTTTAAATAATAAATTTATTTTTTATTGGAAAGATTTCAATTTTATCCCTTCGAGAACTGTATTGACCTGGATTGTTTCAAAATACACTCTTTATCCAATTAAGGAATGGTATCTCTATTTGTAGTTTTCTAGGATTTTGTCATGAATGGGTGTTGAGTTTTACTAAAAGCTTTTTTCCCTGTATCTACTGGAATAATCGTGGTTAATTTTCTTTTTTATTCTTTAGCGTGAGGTAGAGGGATTTCTTTCCAGACTGAAACCAAACTTGCATGCCAGAATTAACTCCATTTTGTCATCATGTGTTACTGTCCTTATAAATGACTGCATTTTATTTGCTAATATTGAGTTTACTCACTAACTTTTAGCTTATGTTCATGAGTAAGACTGGTCTCTACTTTTTCTTTCTTGTAACTCTCAGGTTAGTATAAAGGGGTAGTTTATCCACATTTTCTATTTTGTGAAGAATTTTTGAAGACCAGTGCTATTCTGTCAAAACTCGTGGCATCCTCTCCTTTTGGTGAAGCCATTTGGGTCTGACTTGTTCTTTAACTGTCATTTAACAGACATGGAACAAATAACATAGGATACTTTTTCTTGTTGCCAGTTTTGTTAAAAGTTTCTCAAGAAACTTGACTGTTTTGTCGAAATTTCATGATTTTTCATGATTTTTTTCTCCTTTTGTTTGTTTTGTTTTGTTTTCTTTAGAGAGAGAAAGAGAGAGAGAGAGACAGAGAGAGAGAATATGAATGAGGAGGGGCAGATGAAAGCGAGAAGCAGACTCCCTACTGAGCAGAGAGCCTGACGCAGGGCTTGATCCCAGGACCCAGGACCTGAGCTGAAAGCAGATGCTTAACCATCTGAGCCACCTAGGCACCCCTTACACAATTAATTTTTAATGTAGTTTTTGGCATGGATGGATTTAGGTTTACCATCTTCTTTGTTATCTCTTTGTCTTATTCTGTTTCTCTTCCTCTGCCCCTTTTTCCTTTTCCTTCCTTTTGGATTATTTGATTTTCAAAAGGTATTCTTTTAAAATGAGGCTACTATTGTTATGGTCATATCTCTGCATTTTTTAAGTGTTTCTTTAGGAATTACCATATGCCTCCCTACCCTCCTTGCAGTTCATCCTGCAGTATCCTATGACACCAGGTAAAATGTAGAAACCGTTCCATTGTATCAGTCATTTAACAGCACCCGTCCCACTGACTTCTATGTTGTGGTTATCATATGATATACAGTCAAACCCCTATCAGCCTATACTATCATTTTTTTTTATCTCAAGAGTCATATCTAGATTTTAAAAACTTAAAAGGAAAAGCAGTCCTTTATTTTTATCCTAATCATCATTTGTGTGCTCTTTTTTAAAAAAGAAAAAAAGAAAAGATTTTATTTATTTGAGAGAAAGAACACATGCAGGGAGAGAAGAAGGGGGAGGCAAAGAGGCAGAGGGAGAAGCAGGCTCCCAGCTGAGCAGGGAGCCTCATGCAGGGCCTTGATCCCAGGACCTCGAGATCATGAACTGAGCTAAAAGGAGATGCTTAACCAACTGGGCCAGCTGGGCAACTAAGCCAGCTGGGCAGCCCAGTTTCTGTTTACCTTGCTGCATTCTTAAAGACACATGTGCATCTCTGAAATCACTCCCCACTGCCTTAAATCCTTTGCTTCAGCATTTCTGGTAGAGCAGACCTTGTGAGTCCAATCCTCTCAGTTTTTCTTTCTGAAAATACTTTTATTTCACTTTAATTCCTGAAAGGGACTTTTGGGAGCTGTAGAATTCTTAGTTAACAGTTCTTGTCCTTTGTAGTTTAAAGATGTTCCACAGCTTTTTGGCCTCCAGGGCTACTGATGGGGAATTTGTGGTCCATATTTAATGTATCATTTTCCTATTATGCCTTCAGAATGGCTTTCTTTGGTTATTATTTTTAAAATTTTAATTCCAATATAGTTAATAGACAGTGTTACAGTAGGTTCAGGCATACAGTATGGTGATTCAGTGTTCCATAGAACACACGCGGCTCATCCCAAGTGCCTCCCCTGAATTCCCCATCACCTTTTTACCCATCCCTCCAGCCACCTCCCCTCTGGTAACTCTCAGTTTGTTCTCTATTAAGAGTCTGTCGCTTGATTTGCCTTCCTCTCTTTTTTTTCTGTGCTCATTTGTTTCTTTAATTCCACACGTGAGTGAGGGCATATGGTATTTGTCTTTCTCTGACGGACTTATTTTGCTTTGCATGATATGCTCTAGTTCTATCCACATCGTTGCAAATGGCAAGATTTCATTCTTTTTTAATGGCTGAATAATGTTCCATCGTGTATATACACCACATCTTCTTCACCCATTCATCTATCAATGGGCACTTCGGCTGTTGCCATAATTTGGCTATTGTAAATAATGTGGCTATAAACACGGGGGTGCATATATGCCTTTGAATTAGCATTTTTCTGTTTTGGAGGTAAATTCCCAGTAGTGGCAATTACTGGATCATCAGGGCAGGTCTATTTTCAGTTTTTTGAGGAACCTCCATACTGTTTTCCAGAGTGGCTGCACCAGGTTGCATTCCCACTAATAGAACAGGATGGATTAAATGGATTACAGACCTAAATGTGAGACCTGAAACCATCAAAGTCCTAGAAGAAAGCTC